TTTTTATGTACAAATAATATCCTGTCTAAACATCAGTCAGGCTTCAGAAAGCAACATAGCACCATCACTGCGACAATGAAAGTGGTGAATGACATTACGAGTATTTTAGATAATAAGCAGAGTTGTGCAGCTCTATTTATTGACCTTTCCAAAGCTTTTGATACCGTCGATCATCACATCTTAAAGCAGAGGCTACTCAGTATTGGCATATCCAGCCAAGCAGTGGGGTGTTTTGTGAACTACCTCTCTGAAAGGTCCCAATGTGTTCACTTTGATGGGCTGTCTTCTGAGTGGTTAAACATTGCTAATGGCGTTCCTCAAGGTTCTGTTTTAGGTCCACTTTTATTCTCCATATATATCAACAGTTTAGGTGAAAATGTGAATGAAGCTACTTTACATTTTTATGCGGACGATACCGTGATGTACTGTGCAGGTCCCTCCATTAAGGAGGCTGGTGTTAAATTACAGGCTGTTTTTAACATTATTCAGACTCAGCTCGCTGAGCTTAAGCTTCTTTTAAATGTTGATAAAACCAAGGTGATGCTATTTTCAAAAGCTAAAAAGACACCAGAGCCTGTTTTAGATATTGTTACTATGCAAGGACAAGTACTTGAAGTGGTTACCTGTTATAAATACCTTGGTATCTGGCTTGATGATTGTCTCTCTTTAAACTTCATGCCAATAACCTGCTTAAAAAGCTGAGGGTTAGACTAGGTTCTTTTTCAGAAACAAGTCCTGTTTCTCGCTTGAGGCCAGGAAAAGGCTAGTCACTGTGACCTTTTTACATGTGCTGGACTATGAAGATTTGTTGTATATGAATGCACCTGCCTATTGGCTGAACAAGTTAGATGCCGCCTATCACAGCGCACTGAGATTTTTCACAAATTGTAAAGCACTTACGCATCACTGTACCCTGTATGCCAAGGCAGGTTTGCCATCACTTACTGTAAAGAGGCTCAGTCATTGGTACATGTTTATTAATAAAGCTTTGTTGGGTAAACTCCCGTATTATATCTGCTCTCTGATAACACAGAGAGTTGCAAGCAGCTATTGTCTGAGATCGCATGATGTAGTATTGTTAGATGCAAGAGCAAGGACTGTCTTAGGTAAGACAGCTTTTATGTGCGCAGCTCCACTTGCTTGGAACAATCTTCAGCAAGAATTTAAACTGAGCAATCTAATTCCTCTGCATGTTTTTAAAGCTAGGCTAAATGAAATGCTTGTTGATACTATGGGAACTTGTAAATGTCTATAACTATGTAAATGTATCCTGTAAATATAATGTATGATGTCATTTATTGTTTTATGTTTCATGTGGAACCTATATGCTGCAGGTCTCCCTTGAAAAAGAGATCTATGATCTCAATGGGACCAATCTCATTAAATAAAGGTTTGAAATGAAATGAAAAATGAAATGATGTTAGAGTGATGCTTTACCTTCAATGATTCCCCACTTTGTTTTACGTCCCAGCACCTTGTGTCCATTAACCTGGTGCTCCTTATCCGTTCCCACCACAGCGAAGGGAATGCTTTCCTGAACACACAATATGAAATAACAATGTTCAATGATCATGTCTCAGACAGGCCCATCTATCATTTTAACATGTGAGCTATCAGAACAGCACAAACAGTTATAGACATAGTGAGTAGTGTACAGGAGTGTAGACGTTACCCTGATCCTGTCATTAAGGATGCTGTCCTCCGGATCCTCATCATACTCTTTCTGGGGGTAAACACGAATCCCATTGGCTGCTAGGTCTTGCCTTATCTGTCAATGAGTCAGAGGTTATTAAAGATTTACCGAAGCAAGAAAAAAGGTTTAGTTCTTAGAACGCTTTAAAACATCATCTGGAGGACACGTAAGGAACTAAAGAAAATAGCATTTAGTTGAGTGTGTGTGTGTGTGTTTGTGTTGTCCCTTACCCTCTCTTTGAACTCCTGTCTTTCCTCAATGGTGAGTGTGTCGGCTTTGGCGATGACAGGTACGATGCTCACTATCTTTCCCAACCTCTTCATGAACTCAACATCGATTTGGCGTAACCTGGAAACAGACAGACCTCTGGTCAGCTTGGATGTACTTTTTCAAAGTGTAAAAATGTTAAAACTGATAACACTCCTATCAGCAACAGATAAATGCTAAAATCTACGAAGGTAGCTTGCAGTAGATAAATAAATAAATAATGTATTCTCTGTTTATAGCAAGTCATGGTTACAATCAAGTGATGAAAATGGGGAAAATTTGACCTGCCATATTAGCTTTTTTAAACATACATTCCCAGAAAGCCACTAGCATGACTGTAGATCAATGGCAGCTATGTGCACAGGCTGAGGTCACACTATAGCTCACCTGCAACAGGTAATACTGGAGGAGAAGAGAACATGAAGCAAGCTGAAGGAATGAAGGACCTGAACACAGCGATTGCACACGGTAGTGTCCTCTGCAGTAATGAAACACTGAGACAATACCGTATCAGAGCCAGGTTATTGGTTTGATCACAGCGTCATAATAATAGTCTTTCAATAAAGTTTGCTGCTTTTAATTTGCCAAATCAAGTTTCCTTTGGACTTAATATCTAAGTCTGGACTGAAACATGACTGCAGAGCATCAGACAGGCTGCCTCGAGCAGCTTGTGTAACCTCTCCCTTCAATCTTTTGGGAAAAACATTTCCTGAATGTGACTGCTGTTGTGCATGTGTCACTGCCGCCCTGTGTCGGAGGGGCATTGAAAATGAACAGTTTCTGAAGGTGAAATGTAATTAAAGGATGAAGCGGCTTCCTTATGCTCATTTCCTTGCGCCTAGCATTACAGTGGTGTTATCAACAGGTTCAATTCCAAAGGTCATAGTGCTGATCAAACCGATATGGTTTGGGAATAAAATATGTTGAGCAGGTCTCCCTTGAAAAAGAGATCAATGATCTCAAGGGATTCACCTGGATAAATAAAGGTTTGAAATGAAATGAAATGTTACTGACACAATAAAGTGCAAAATGCTCTGGTGGAAATAAACCTAAATAAATCAGAGAGCCAGGTCTGAGGGCTGACCTGTGTCCGGTGGGGGGGAGGAAGTAGATGCAGCAGTGGACTCTGCTGTCTGGTATCCTCCTCTTCCTGTTGATATGCAGCTCTTCTCTCAGGTATTTCTCATACTGCTCGTTGACATGCTTCACTATGGGCTCCCAGCTGGAGAGAGGAGCAGAGGAGACAGTGTTACCAAGGCAACGTTTATACTTTGCCCCAGAGATACCTGCAATCAGATGCTCTGATATCATTATCTTTGTTGTAAATGTAACCTTAAGACAGAGCCCCCACTAAATATTCTATACTGCAAATTCCCTACTTGATATTGTGTGTTTAAGGTATCTGAAAATGCTATCAAAGCCATTCTTGTTGGTTGCAGCTGTGGGTCGAGACATGTGGGTTAGGGTTAGGGTTGCTCATGTGCAAATATACTCAAAACTAATAATATTACATAAACGATACTTCTGAGAGGGAACACATTCATTTTTCACTTTAACATTTTCATCACTGTGGTTACTGGTGAGTATGACTATAAAAAAATCAATAACGTCTGTTTTTCAAAGACTACATTTCCCTTTGACTTAGTTGCAAGTTGCAACTGCATGCAGTCATTTGCACACTTTTTAACTCAGATCTGGGAAGCACCATCTCCTACTCTGCTTCCAGGCATCGGTCTTTTCTCTCCCCATCCTTCTACCACTCACCAGTTCTCGTTGTTGATCTGGTCACCAAATCCTGGAGTATCGATCACTGTGAGCTTCATCCTCACCCCCTTCTCCTCAATCACTACACAGAGAGGGACAGAGGGAGAGGGGTTACATGTGCAGGAGTTAAACATTAAAAGTGAATTTAATCACATCACATTGTTGAACAGTAGAGGATGTTGTGCCATGAGGATAGTGGAATCCAAATTTTCTTCAGGTTCAGTTTGGTACCACAGTGTCATGGTTTCTAATCATTCTGAGATCCCTGTGTATTTGTGATTCGAAAGTTACGTTGTAGAGTTGGCTTTAGGGTTACGGTTGATAATGTTTAAAGTTAGTTCATGACTAAAGAGATGGCATAAGGGAGGTTCAAGGCTGATTCAGTGGCGTGATGAAATAAAACCCTGAAAAATGACACCTAGCTTTTTCAAGTTTTAAAAGGATGCGTAAAGAAGTGCCTCCTTAACCGTACAACAAACCGTAGTTTGTTGCTGTCTTTGTTGGGGTATAGAGTGGGGCAGTGATACCGTATTTTTTAGACCAACCACAAAGTTTGCATCGCAAAGGTCCTAAATGCAATCACCAGAAGTAAAAAGCTAAAGTTAGGCTATAAACAGACTACATCACTGTTGAATAGCCGCGCATCACCACCACTAAGCTAAAGGCGGCTAATGTTCAACGTGATGATATGTAGTAGTCTCATTTGGTCACTTGTTAGCAACCGCTGTTTTTATGACGCATAAAACCTACAGCTTCCTACACCACTCATGTCCGACAAATTAGATTATTTTATGGAAATACTAAACGGCACAACAGTTTGAAAACATATATCAGGGGTAGATATTAAGGACAAGTAGATTTTCATTATCACTGGCCCCACCATTGTAACCACTGGCCCGGAGCATTTGTCCAAAAAGATCGACTCTAATAATGAAGAAAATTAACACATTTGTTGCACTAGTAATTTATGCACAAACTATACATTACTACTTTTCCTACAACATTTGAATAATCAGTTCTTCCTCATTTTCCTCAATTGTTCATATTTGGTTTATTAAAATTATTATATTGTGGTCATTGTTAAAAGAAAAAAAGGAGGGTGACATTTCGGCTATGAGTATTATTATTGTTATAATATGCTTTCTGCCTTCCTGTCATTATCAGGAGTTAGAAATGTAATGGCTACGTAATAGATTAGAACCTTCATTATCCTAAACTGCTGGGACATTTCCCTATAGCGAATATACCTTTATATTTTCTACTCTTCACTTACTTGTCAGCATACTTCGGCATTGATGTACAGAGCCGACGGAAGACTTTGTTTATGTCATCATGTTGAAGCCAACTCCATCCATCAAGCCAGTGTGGCTGAAACTTTCTCCACCTTTTCTTCTCATTCTCCCTGTCACTCTCCTCTAACTCCTCCGGTGACTTTCTTTTATGTGAAGATTGTTTTTTGCCAGGCGCTTGGCCGGTTACCGCTGGTTTTAAAAACATTTTGGCGAATGGTTAGCTGGTGCGAAAGTCTGTATTGAAGCGCTCCTTCAATTGCTTGTCAAAATACCAATACCACAGGACAATGTGATTTTAAGCCAAGTGGAAAGTACGTTATGCTGGCCCGGGGTGTCAAATAGTGCTTCCGGGCC